CAAGGGTGTTTGCTATCAGCTTATTTGGCAAAAGGAATCTGAGACATTTTAAATATGAACTGTCGGCAGGGCCCATCCCATCCCACTCCCCTTTTGCCCCACCAAGAATCACCTTCATGGGTGTGTGACACAAAATGTAGAAAATGGACACAAACTATCTCAAACAAGCTGGTAGCGCTTTAGAATCTGGAGAATTCACCTCTGGAGGGTCTTTGCTGTTCTCCTGATACTTTTGTGAATGAAACTCCCATAGTAGCAAGTGTTTTGCAAATGCCTTGGACAGTCTGGCTCCAAATCCCCTCCCCTTCCCTCTCCTGATCTCTCAACTGAATGTTCCATTCCTTGTACTCCGGGCTAAGAAGAAAACATGCATGCAACCTCTCCTTACTTCCAAATGCCAAATCAGGCTCTTTCTTACCTCCACATGTTTTTCTTGCAAAACCTTCTGCTTCCTTCTCTGCCTGGCAATCTCCTCTTCATCCTTAATCCCCAGGTCCTGCAGGACCTCCTAGGTGCACGCTTCCCTGTGTGCTGCTCTGTTCTCAGTGTTTCCAGAGTACAAGGGGTGTCTCTCTATGATAAAGTTTAGATAGTTGTGGCTAGAAAACATCTGTCTGGCCACCAGGCCAGGCCACAAACTCCTGGGAGTCAAGAGATTGGTTCTTACTCACTTTTGCATCCCAAGGAGCAAGCCGTGGGCCTGGCCCTGGGAAGTCCCATTATGGATGCTGGGCCATCACCGCCTTCTTCCCCAGTCTTTAATTGATCTTTACCCCCACCATATACCATAAAACAGGATGGTGCTAACTCAACACTGTCAAGGTCAAAGTACAGACTCCTTGCTGCTACACCCAAGTTTTATTGGGCCTGATAAACAGCAAGGTGTGGGCCCTGCTAACACCTTAGCCATCCTGCTCAGGGTCAGAGAGACAAGTGGAAGGCAGGGTACCTGATATCAGGAGGCAGTGTCACCTGGGGAAGGCACCATATGCTGCAATCAGACTTGGCTTCCATCTCCCTCCAGTCATAAATGGCCTGCTTTATGGGTCGGTTTAAATCACTCCTCTGAACCTCAGATGCTCAACATACAAACATGAAGATGGGACAAGGCCCTCTATCATTTCTTTCCAGATTCAGTATTCTCCAACCGTCTGTCTCAGTGATGGACCCACCTTCCCTGGCCCCTCTCCTTTCTGTGTTTAGTCGTCTGTCTCTCACTGAGCAGCCTTCTACCAATGCTCCTTCCTTTATTGCTCCGGGGTCTCTGGCCACCCCTGACCAGGCCACATGGGGCCATATTCTTAAGACTATATTCACTACCCTCTGGTCAATAGAGCCTAGGAACTTTGGGGCACTAAGAACTTGGGTATCCCAACACCCCATAATCCCATTGCCTTTTAGATCAATCCAGCTCTCCTCTTGAGGCCTCCAACACTCTTACACATTAGATGTGCTCCCATGCTGCTTGGCGGGAGTCAAGGACACCAATAGGCTGTTGTTACCTGTGCATGGTGGGGGGCTTGGTTGCAGAGCTTCACAGGCCAGGGGGACAGTGCTAACCGAAGCAAGCTCTTCAAGAAGAGAACCTGAGAGCAGGCAGTGCCAATCACAAGGACAAACTCAGAGCCCACACTAAGGACCAGAGGAGTCCAGGAGGCTCCTTTAATGTGCTACTCAGCCTCCCAGGCCTCCCTTATCTGCTTACAGAGAGATCTACGGCCACCCAGCTAAGCCGTGAACAGTGCACACTAGAACATCAATCTTTGGGTCTCCGTTCACTCTTTTTTCCACTCAACTCAGTTGACCTTAAGTGTCTAATGAGGTCAGGAGATGCCCTGAAGACTCTAAGAAACATGACCCTCATGTCACTTAGGGAAAGAGCGGGCCCAGGAGATGTTATCCTGACCGCCTCCCCAGCTGGTGCATTCCTTCCTGGCTTGACATGGTCTTTCTGTTCTCTCTCCAGACCTTGCCACAAAATCTGTGAAAGTTCAGAGGTCAGTGAGAAGGGAGAGGCGGGTCTCCCTGTCCTTAGAGCACCCTAAATAGGTGAGAGAACCCCCAGCCGCCCCTCCCTCAGACTAGAGAAAGTTGATGGGGGAAGGGTGTCAGGAGAAGATTGAACGACCCACTGGAAGTCTGACCTGTTTAGGCTGAGGTGCATCTGAGGCCATCCGAAGGTTTATGACAATTAACACAATAACATCTGCCTGTCAGGCTCGATCTGGTAAAAGACTTATGTCTGTCAGATCATCTCTGCATCAGGAGGAGGAAGTTCCTGACTCAGGAATAGTAAAAGACTCAAGGAATTAATTATTCAGTGTGCATGACCCAGTTCAAGGAGTTGAGGCTGGGTGAGAACAGAGCTCACTAGTCCTTTATCATGGAGAGAAACTCAAATACTTCACGGGGCAGTGATCTCCTTGCTGCTAAAGAAGATCCATTTATGATTAAGTGGCCCAAACAAACAACAAAAAATGTTCATTCACTCAACAAATTCTTAGTGAGCAACTCTTATGTCTCAGTCCTCCAGGGTCTTGCATATGGTTTAGTAGAGGAGAGAGACTATGGAATTTTCAAACAGGAGGCCTGAGCTCAGCCCTTGAACAGCTATATTATCTTAGGTGGGTTCCAGCCTGTCTATGACAAATTCCTCATCTAGAAAATGGGAGTATATCCACCTGCCTGATCATGAAGATGCAATGATCTTTATAAAATGTGAAGCACAGCGTAAATATGAGGTATAAACAATAATGATATAACATGACACACTTTCTCTGCCCTAGAGAAGTATATAATCTGGTCATGTTTTGGAAAACAAGCCAAGGTACCTATTTGGCAAACATTCTCTGTAATTTGGGCAGATTATATGTTTCAACTTGCCAATGGAGACAGAATCGGTGGTCAGTGCCAATCTCCAGTCCGTGTGCCCAAGACATTGCAAGAAGGGCTGGAGTGAACACGGGGACTCACCAGGCCCTGTGTCAAGTTCCACTGAATGAATGAGCCAGGTTGAGATCCAAGGGGGGAAGACAACAACCGGTCACGTGGTCAATCAGAAACACAACCCAGAATTCATCTGCACACAATAGAAGTGAGCCAGCCAGAATCGCACACACGTCCTCCCCACGCACATTTCAGACAACACTGGAATTCACTGTTCACTGCTCGCCTCCTCTGTGGACGCCCCTGGCATGCTGCTTCTGCAGGGAAGGGGAGGGATTCTCAGGCTGCTGCAGACTGGCCAATCTGGGCCTCTTTGCCTGGGTCTTTCCCAGGCACTAAGAATCAGAACTGAGCAGCTTTCCCTGGGTCCAGTCAACCCCTTTTCATCCTGTCCTCCGGTAGGTTCTTGGCATCCACCAGCCAGCTCTGACTGCACAGACATGCTCCCAGCTGACCTCAGGACCCTAGCCTTAGATTGGGCCCTCAGGTCTTCCCCCCTCCTCCTGCACCAAACAACTCTTGCCCCAGGCTCACAGTGGGGGGACCTCCTGGGGCAAGGGCCAATTGTCTTCATCTCTATGTCCCCTCCAGCTCAGAATGTTCTTTAAGCACTTTGCCCTACATGTAGAAATGCCCTCGAATGGCTGCATACAGGAGGCAGGCAGAAGAGGAGTGAGGAGGGTGCTGGAAGCCCAGGGCCTGTATTCTGACACTCCACTTGACACCAGATAGCTCTGCAACCTTGAGAAAGTCTGTTTAGGCAAAGCCTCAGTTTCCCTATTTGATAATGAGGGGTTTGCTCTAAATAACCTCTCTAATAAAGTTTTGCATTATAGAAACCAGACTAGCCCAGTACACGGAGGACACGAGACCTGGTCCACAATAGCCTACAATCTGGGGCAAGTTGTCAGGCCTCTCAATGCTCATTCTACACGTCAATCAAATAAGGGAGGCTAAGGCCACCACCTCTCCCAGGGTTCAAGGCTCTGTCAAGACAGTTACTGTGATAGAGCTTCATCTATGCTCTATTCAGAGCTGGCTGGTGGTTGCCAAAAGTTAGGTCGGGCTGAAAGTCCTGAACTAACTCAGGGTTCAGACTCCTTGGATCAACAGAATAGCTATTGCATGTGCTGGGGTCTGTGCCTGTGGGGAGGGGCTCCTGCCTCAGATAGGAAGGTTGAGGATGGCTTCCTGCCCAGAGGCCCCTTCAGCTAGCGGGTAAGACTGAGAGTAAAGGTTCCTTAATTCAGTGGTATATCTGAGGGACAAAGCACTCTGGCAGTGCTGAGGAGGAGGCTCCAACCTGGCCTAGGGAGGGAGGGAAGCTTCTCAGAGGAACAGCACGTCCCAGACATGGCAAGCTATTCCAGGATGGTGGGGCTGGATCCAGGACAGAGAGGAGAGGCAGAAAAGGAGGCAGAACAGTGAGCCTGAGGTCCAGCTGGCGGGGCCACAGGAGAGATGGTCAGATGTGTCTCTGAGAGCGTCTCTGGCTGAACTACAGAGTGCAGCACAGAGGGAAGAGCACGTGGAGCCGGGAGGGCAGCAGGAAGGCCCTTCCAGACACCAGAAGCCATAGAAATCTATAAACAGGTCTGTTCTCAGAGTGGAGCTCATGTGGATAAAGATGCTGTGAATGTGGACTTGTGCTCCAGGATGCTCGGAGTCATTCCCTAGAGGCCACCTGGCCAATGCCTCTCTTGCCCAGACCTGAGCAGATAAGCCCCCTCAGAGAGCTTGCCTGGGGTCTGAAGGGCCGCACTGCTGGCGTTGGTTCCGGGAGGCCCAGCCACACATTGCCCAGTTAGATGGGTCTCTCACCTCCTGGAACGAATGTCAGCCTCAGCCTGCTCCCTCTGACAGCTGGGGAGGATGTGCAGCCCTGGAGTCTTGGACCAGGACAAAGGGCTGAGGAGGTATCCAAGGTTTCACCACGCTTCTTCAGTGGGTCACATGACTTGAAGAGAATTTGAGAGCTCCCATACTTCCCTAAGCCTGAAACTAGATCCCCCAGGAGCTACTCAATGTGTAAGAGAGACCCCACTGTGACTTACTTGGTTCTCAGGCATCACAAGGGCTAAAGACTTCTCCTCTGGGGGCAAGCCCCATACAGGTTGCCATGTTCCTTTAAAAAAAAAAAAAGAACCCAACAATTAATGTCAGCCTCGTGATCTGACATCGTAGCCTCCTATCTTCTCCCCTTCAAGAGTTTGCACAAGGCTCTGATCATAGCTGAGTTTCCTAATAAATTATTATTTTGTGCATTTTTTTTCTCTTAGCAACACTTTAGCCAGCAAGAGGAAATGGACAGATAACCTCTGTCTGTGCCCCAGGTTTGGCATGTGAAGAAAGACTGCGAAGCAGGTCCTACCATCTGCCTGTTGGCTGTGCACCCTAAGGCCTTACCCTATGTCTAAACAAAGACTCTGCTTAAATAAAAACAGAGAGTGCCAGGATTTCTAAGGTTGAGACAGAATGGAAGTAAATAAAACTGGTGCAAAACTTGATCACAGGTCACCAATGTGAAAAGTGTCACATTGCCTCTAGTGGAAAGGTCCAACATGCTCAAAACCTAGGAAGCTACAGAAGTGGGCCATCTGATCATGACTGTATTCTTTTGGCTTATAGGGGCTACCCACGTTACTTGGTTACCGCCTACTGCTGTTGCAAAAAATGTCTCTACACCTATTTGGAAAAGGGGGCCCAGAGTTACAAAATATTTCTAATGATTTACATTCACATTAAAAAAATAATAAAATCCTAATGTCTAAGAGGAAGACTCAAGAGAACAAAACCTAATACAGATGTGAAATTTGAGCTTTAAAAGGGGCAATATCCACACTCTGGGGAAGCACACACACTTTGCTCAGAGAGCAGCTGGGCTGCTTATCCACTACACACACACACACACACACACACACTCTCTCTCTCTCTCTCTCTCTCTCTCTCTCTCTCTCTCTCTCACACACACACACACACACACACACACAGCCATGTGAGAGTCCCAAACCTCCAGACCTTTAATGGGACAGAACCCACTATTTGCTGAGCACTGGTCATGCATGGAATCCGCACCACTAGGCCTAGACGTGCATTATCTCAGTGGTTCCTCACAGACAAGGAACAGAGGCCTAAGGAGTGATGGTCCTTGCCAAGGTCACCCAGCATGGCAGGATTTGCACCCAGGCCTGACTGACACAGGGCTCAGGGTTCTTGCCCCCATACTGAGGTGTCCTGGCTGTGAATGCCTAGTGCTACGGTGAGCTCCCAGAGCAGTCACCCGGGCAGGAGCTACAGTTCTGCCCACCATCATCACCATTACCAAGCCCACACCCCTCGGGGCCTGTGCCGGCGGACGAACAGGCTGGCCTGCCTTGGCCACATTCTATCAGCATGAGCTATAGGCTCCGTGCTGTTGTCTCAAGCCACAAGTCAGAGCGGCTGGAGGCCTTAACTTATCTGTCCCTGCTTCTCACAGAAGACTCCAGGAGCTGTGAGTGGCAGAGCTGGACACCGTGATACAGAATTCAAGAAACTAGTGATGGCCTCCTGCTCCCTAGATCTCAGGGACAGAGTTCCTGAGTACTCTGTGATATTATTGAGGCCAGTTGGGAGACAAGAAGCTCTCTAAGGTTGGGTTGTCTTCCTGATGGAATGAAAGTGGGCACATCCGGGCCAGGTCACAGGGCTGACCATTGGTTGGATTCCTACAAAGGCCTGAACACACTGATCCAGACATTAAGGGGCCAACTAACACACACCCTCTATGGACCAATAGCCCAACATGCTTTGCACCCCCTGAAACTGCACTAAACCAGACAGTCCCAGCACCCGGCACTTCCTAGGGCCTATTTCTTTATCTATGAGTAGCTAGACATAATTGGTGATTTCCTCACCAAGGACCCCTTTCAGCTGTCCCATTCCATGGATCCATGGATCCTGACTTCTAGAGATACCTACAGAACTACCTAGTGGTTAAAGGCTGTGGGGGAGTCACCTGTGCTGGCTTTGACCTTGCACTGCCTCAGCGAATCCTCCCAGCAACCCTGGCAGGAGGTAGGGTAGTATTCCAGAAGAGGACACTGAGGCGTGGCCCACAGTCCTCACTAGCACCGGCCACAGCAGCCCTGGGACTTGGGGTAGAGCTCTCCTGAGCCCACCCCATGCTTGTTCCTGACCCAAAGCCTCCTTCCGTCATCAATGAGAATGGAGAAAACCTGTCTCCCGTGGCTTGCTATCATGCCAGGTCTAAGCCAGGAGGCATGAGGTCTCCAGTCCCTTGTGGGCCTGTTTTGATCCTGAAAAGACTTCCCGTGAATCTAAGTGTCCTCAAGGTCCCAAGGAACATGAGAATCCCAAGGAAGGGAAGCTCAGGGAATCCTTTGTCTCTGACATTCTCCCCACCTAACTGCATAGAGGCAGGGGCTTCCCTGAGGCACTCCAAGCACTTAGGCAGGGCCTGGCACACCCTGGGAAGTCAATGAATCTTTTTTGAATAAAGAAATGAATGAATCCTGAGATTTGATGCACTGAAGACTTATTCAAGAATCATTTGGTGTAGTTCATGAGAGACACACCAAGAGCAGCACAATCCAGCTTCCCCAATGGAAGACAAAGGCTTGGTGGCAGTTAAGTGGCCCTGAGCAATTCACATAACCTCTGTAAACCTCAGGTTCTTATCTAAAACTGGAAATGATGTTGGTACCTACTTCATGGAGATATTCTAAAGATTAAATGAGATAATGCTGTAAAGGACTTAGCCCAGCTCATGTTCACAGCAAGTATTGAGAGGTGACATCAGTTCTTACTGTCTACATCAGAGTGCGTGGTTTAGAGCACACCTGTGTTGGGCATAGTAGTGAACACCTGTAATCCCAGTGACTCAAGAGGCTAAAGCAGGAGGATCACAAGTTTGAGGCCAGCCTTCACAACTTAACAAGACTCTGCCTCAAAAAATTAAAAGGGCTGGGGATGTAGCTCAATGCTAATGCACCCCTGGGTTCCATCTCCAGTACCACAAAATGAACAAACAAACAAAAAGAGCACATTTGGAGCCCTCTGCCTCGGTTCAATCCCAGCCCTCCTCCTCGTTAAGTCACCTTGGGTAAACTGCTTCACCTCTCTGTGCCTCAGTCTCCTGGTGTGTAAAATGGGGGCAACTATGAAGATCAAATGAGTTTTCCAGGTAAAGAGGTTAGAATAATGGCTGGCAGAAAGTAATTTCTCTATAAAAGCGAGTTTGTATTTTTGTTCTTTTCTTCTATTGATACAATCCCCCGCATCTCCCACTCAGCAAAAAAGATGGATCCAGGACTCAAAGTAGGTCCTGAGAGTATCCTTTCTCCTTGGTAGGGCCCTGATACAAAGGGTGTATGTGTGCTCCAATCTGAAGAGTCCTGGGTTTGCCTGGTCCTCTTGAGCCGGGTGGGGGGCTGTGTGGGGTCAGCGGGGAGTTGCCTATGGCTGTGCACCACCCAGCAGGGTCTCTGTCGGGGAGGCTGAGATCATCTGTTCTCTTCTTGGGGCTGGACTCTTCAGTGTGCTCTTGACTCTTCGAGCTCCCCTGAAGCCTTCTAACTTTTACATAAAATCATTTACTCTTGGCTCCTGTCCCTTGAAGCCAGGAATCCCGACTAACAACAGCACGGCTATGTCACCACCAAATCCCACCAAGGGGAAAAGCCAGCTGTCCACCCCCAGAGAGACCCAGTCAGCCAGGGCCGAGCAAACATGGACAGTGAGGTGGCTGCAAACTGGAGCAGGGGAGGCTGCTGCCAGCCCCTGGACCCTGCCCTCCCTGCGGGCACCTCATGCTGAAACCAGAAAGCAGCAGCCTGGTGCTGTGGTCCCTGGTGGGGACCTGGGCTCCTTTGCCATGAATGCTAGCAAAGAAGAAGAGGAAAAAGAAGAAAGCTGGAGCTGATTTTCATTGACTTCAAAGTGGTGCAGAAAAGTTATTGAATACAACTCTCTCTAAAGGAAGATTACGGGAGAAAAGATGGAGGAAGGGGAAGGGAGAGCAACTGCTCTTAGGAGGGCTTCAGTGTCCCAGGTGCGGGGGATCAGGCTCTTTGTATGATCTCATCCAGCCTCAGCACAACGTGCAGACCTGGGTGATCATTCGGCCCATTCTCAGTTGAAGAAATTGAGGCTCAGAGAAATAGATAACTAATTGGCAACATCACACTGCTAATGCCTCACGCCCCTTCTTCCCAAAGCACTGGCTTCACTTTGTCCCCAGACAGAGCCTGGGGTCTCCTCCTCATGTGGTCATTTCTGCTGTCATGGGGGATGGTGATGTCCTGCTGCTCCCTCACCCCTGACCGCCCATCAGAGGAAGGGGCTGCCTGAGGGCAGACAGGACAGGAACATCCCTGGGCAGTTTTCCTCCTCTGGACCTCATTCTGTTTAATCTCACAGAGCTCCATTGTGACATTAATGAGAAGGCATCTGTTGGTGAGTTTTAGCCAGGATGTGCCCATTGGAATCCCATGGGGAGTTTGGATTTTCTGTCACCTGACCCAAGAGACACTGACCTCACAGGTAGGACTGCAGTCTTTGTCACATCACACTGTGCTGAACACGGTTCTCTCTGCTTGATCTCATTGCCTTGCCACCGTCTAGGTCAGGGCCACAGGTAACCTATTTCTGAATACCCAAGCCTTCTAATGTTTGTTAGAAGACAGGAAAAGAAATCCCACCTTCAGATGTATTTTTAAAAGGCTTTAGAAAAAAATAGAATCCTGGCCTGGTAGCAAAAACTAAGAAGCCGATCCCACTGACCCCCCACCCTGCTGTAGCATCCACCTCGAGGTGAGCGCACACAGCCTCTCCCAGGCCCCACACAGCCCTGTACCACCGTCTGCACCAGTAACCCAGGCAACCTGTGAGCAAGGCCTCCCAGACAGGCTTCAGCTGGCTCAAAAGGGGACACTGCCAGCTTCCAGCATCTGCAGGAGAACTAAACTGGAGGCCATGATCTGGAATGATGTAGAAATCCTCCTGACCACAACAGTGTCAAGAGGAGCAGCTCTTGGCAGGGCTGGGTTGTGCCTGTTGGTGTGGGGATTGTCAGAAAGCATTTCGAGAGGGCCTTGTCTGCTGCCCCCACAGGACACACCCCAG